CATCTGTCGGGTTGGGGTTCCTCTAGGACCCCCTTAAGGTACCTTAATTTATTCATACTGATGGATCCCAGTATCGGCCACTGGAGTTCAGGGGTCTCATAAGTGTAGCCGGGCCAGATACTAGTGCATAAGGCTATAGCGCACTTCTTACTCAATTGGCAATGTCCAGATAACTTATTCCAGTTACTTAACAATTCTCCAAGAGGACTACTGGCGGGAATTGACTGTTTCTGTCCCATTGTCACTCTTGGCGGATGTCCCTTTTCCCAGATAACCTAATACACTATAAAGTTCCCCAAGGACCCTGCTTTCTTGGCTACCCCAGACCTAACCAATCTGGAAAGGCAGGTTCTAAGGTGCCTCAAACAGATTGGAGGGCTTATCCAGTTTGAAGGTCAGAAACAGGGCAGTTAACTAAAATTGCCTGTGTGCCCAGGTTTGAGGAACCGGAGAACAGACTGACCTATAACACATTAGACAAGACATACACAACATATAAAAGACCACACCATGCCAATAAAATTGAAGGAGTCACCTTATGTCCTGCCATGTCTGCAGCCTCAACCCAAGACTCCCATGGTGAACTCACCTCTGTTATGGCTGGCCGAGGGTTGGGTTCAGGTGGCAGCGGCGACGCAACGAGCTGGGTGCTCCTGCCTGGCTCACCAAATTGTCAGAGAAAATTATCCGTCTAGGTTCCCAACCTGGTAAGGGAACACTTGCGGATTCTCCTGACCCCAACGGGGCTCATTTCCCAGCTGAGACTCAAATAAGCGGGAGACGAGGGTGTGGTTTTTCCAGTTTATTCAGCCGAATGTCCCCTGTCCTTGTAAGGGCAGAGGCCCCGACTGCAACTCAACACACATATTTATAAACTTCGGTTACATAAGCTTTTCCATAACGCATGCGCAAAACACTCAGCGGAAAATTACCAACACAGCATGAATTTACTCATCCCATATGGTTGGGTCCAATCACCTTGCTTGACCGTTAGATTGACAGACCAGTGGCAATCTCAGTGCAATGTTGCATCAGCCAGCATCAACCAGAGGTCATGCAGAGGTCACGTTAATTTTTCTAACAATTTTCTAACAATATATCATTTGTACAGGCAGGTAATTTTATCTGTTCCACTGTTCAATGGAAGAGATAGCACAGGACTTGCAGTTCACAGTATATAGAAAGCTAAGCTCTTCAAAGATAAAACAGTTTAAAAAAATAGGTGCTAGACCTTTATTGTGTATCAGGGAAAAGCAAACAGGATTGTGTTTCTTTTGATCAGAAAGACACCAGTGAAGAAGCTACAGGTTGTTTCTGATCAGCCTTACAAACAAAATAAAACAGCTCAGCTGAAGCATCAAATTCTGCCTCATCTGTGTATGTTTATTACAGACAATGTCCCCAGCAGCACTTCTCTTTCAGTTTGGATCCTAAGGACCTAACAGCGCTAATTAATGAGTCCGGCAGAAAATATTGTTTTTAAAATAACACTTTGTACTACGTTTGTTCCTTCAGAGGAATACTCTACAAATAGAAATGAATTACACCTCCCCATATTCCTGTGAGAATGCTAGGGGGTAATGATTATCCCCACTCTGTTCTGCTTAATAATAGGTTATATGACTTGCCTAAAGTTACCCAGCAATTAAATGGCAGAGCAAAGCAAAACCCCCAGTAAGCCTAACTCATGGGCCCATACTTCAGCAGACTACACAAAGCTGTAGAGGATTCTGTTCCTTGTAATTGGACCAGCTAAACATCAGAGGGGGAACTCAAGTTTCCAAGACTTGGATGCTTCATCTGGTCCTCAATGAATCAAACAGACAAGTGACCACAAGCACCTGACAATGATGCATTATTTTCTGAAGTAATGTGACATGTACTGCTTGGATTGCACAAACTAAAAGCAACTTTGTTTATTTCCCTGGTGCTGGATCACACCCTCCGATTCCTTCCTTGTGACCAGGAGACAATAGCAGTATTCTGGTGGCTGGTGTTTCCTGTAGGATCACAAGGAAGTGAATTAATTATAGATAGAAATAACTGCACTCTTGCTTCCTCTGGCTCTCTTCCTCCCCTTCTTGCCCCTGTCAGGAAATTTAGGGCTCAAGGTGTGAGAGCTGAAGTGTGTATTTCCTGAGACCTGAAAAACAGTCACACCATGCCAGACCAGGAGAAAAGGGGCTTTCAGCTTTTCCAGAAAGCTACAGGAGGAAAAATTAAAAACCCCACCATCACTTTTCTGCATGTCCTTTCACAGCATCAGATGAAGTGAGTTTGAGCTGACCAAAGCTTGTGCTCGGCATATATAGCTACTTTGACTCATTTTTAAGGGGCAAATTGAGCCTGCCTCCTATATCACTTATATAAACCAGATGTGCCACATACGGTGGGTGACCTGCAGTGCTCCCTGCCATGCTGCCGCCCTCCACAAGTCTGCAATCCAAGGGGCAGCCAAGAGCTGGGCTACCATTTTGGAAACAGACCCAATGCTTCATTTCTGCTGCGCCTTAGCCCAGGACCGGAGGGACCCTTCAGCATTGCCACAGCTAAGAGCCAGAGGCGCTTGGGGCAGGCCCGCGGGGTGCTGCTGTGCAGGCAAGAGCCCGGCTAGGCTCACAGGCCCTGGCACTGCCCAGCTCTTGGCTAACACCAGCTCTGCCAACCCACGATTTTTGGCACTGTTCTTAAAGTCTACGCCGCAGGAACGTGAAAAACTTAGCTCTTCCTTTTAGATATATTTTATATATCTAGAAGAAAGAGCTAAGGTCTTCACATTCCCACAGTGTAGACTTGAAGAACAACACCAAAAATCATGAGTTGGCAGGGCTATAGGCGAGCAGCTTGGCAGGGTTCTGGCTTGCCCAGGGTTGAGCTACTGCCCACGGCCAGGGCGTCCTCCTTGGCCCGGGGCTGCAGCAGTAGCAAAAGGCCCGGTCTGGCGCTATCGGGAAGGCCCTGAGGCAGCCTGTCTCCTT